GATGGGGGCTGGGCGGGGGTTGGGGGGTGCCATCACAAGTGATGGGGATGAAGGCAGCCGGGCTGGGGCTGAGAAAACTCCCGACATAACTGTGCTAGCCGTCACAGAGGGCTCCAGCACAAGTACCCCGAAACCCTCCTGTTCTCCCCCTCGCTCTGGAAGCTTCAAGAATAGGTTGTTCCCTGCCCCCGCGGGTGCCCTCCCCATCTCCTTCATGCAGCCTCTCGGTTCAGAACCTGCTGCAAGCCAGGGTTCTGTCTTTGCAGCCAGGTGCACAGAGAACCCCATCTCAATCCAACATAAAACCTTGTGAGGGAGGCAAGTGGGTCCTGAGCTGCTACTTGTCCCACCAGTCCTGCCCCTGAGCCAGGACTGACCCCAACACCTCACTGTCTGTGTCCACATCTAACCACCCCCCGGGGCCAGAACACACCCCTGGACTCCCAAGCCTCCAAAGCAGTGATGCCCCACAGTGGTGTCGATTGCTTGATGCCAATCCCAGGGCCCACACACACAATGGGGTCCCTTACGCCGCAGGCCTGGAGCACCACTTAGAATCTGATTATACTGCTGAGCGCCACCCACCCACCCACGTACCCCCACCTCTCCAGCTGTCTGAGGCCTGTGTGCCTAAATCCGTGACCAAATTGGCCTGGGCTTTTACAGACTGGCTTCAATCCTGGCATAAGCCCTTCCAGAAAGCAGCTCTGAGGTACCATTCCAGCCAGCTCCCGACCTCTGGAGAATTGCTCCCGCCATGTGGCTTGGGCTCCCCAGGCCTCCCGACTGGGTTCTGCAGGTGTCTCCTTCTCACCACAGTGGTCCAAGCAAGGGCCCCAAGGCCCCTAGGGCTGCAGGATTGTAGGGTGCTTAAAGGGCCACAATTTATAAAGCACCAAAGATTTTCATGGGACTCACTGGCTTCCCCCAGAGGCAGGTGGGCACTGGCTTGTAGAGCCCAGCAGAGATCTGCCCCATGGCCTTCTGCCCCAACCCAGGTCCCCTGCTTGAGGTTCCCCCCTTAACGGCAGGAAAGGCTGCAAGCGCCAGCCTTCCCAGGAGAGGAGAGAGGAGGTGCTGACACCTTCCCGGGGATCAGTGGCCCAGTGTGGCAGGAGGGAGCTGCCATCCGTATACTCTGTGTGGACACATCCATCTACCCTGTGGACCTATCCATCTACTCTGTAGACGGCCTGCGCCTGCCAGGAGCAGCACCCTCACACGCATTTCATCTTGATTCATCCGTAGTCAGC